ACTACAGGCGCCTGCCACCTCGCCTGGCTAGTTTTTTTGTATTTTTTAGTAGAGACGGGGTTTCACCGTGTTAGCCAGGATGGTCTCCATCTCCTGACCTTGTGATCCGCCCGTCTCGGCCTCCCAAAGTGCTGGGATTACAGGCTTGAGCCACCGCGCCCGGCCTGGATTTCTTCATGGTTAAATCTTGGTAGGTGGTATGTGTCTAGGAATTCATGTGTTTCTTCTAGGGTTTCCAATTTATTGGCGTATAGTTGTTCATAGTAGTCTCTAATGATCCTCTGAATTTCTGCGATATCAGTTATCTCCTTTTTCACCCCTGATTTTATTTATTTAAGTCCTCTCTTTTTCTCTTAGTCTGGCTAAAGGTGTGTCAATTTTGTTTATCTTTTTAAGAAACCAACTTTTCATTTCATTGATCTTTTGTATTTTGGGGGGGGCTTAATCACATTTATTTCTCTCTGATCTTCATTATGTCTTTTCTTCTACTAATTTTGGGTTTGGTTTGCTCTTGCTTTTTTAGTTCTCTAAGATGTATCCTTAGGTTATTTATTTGAAGCTTTTCTTCTTTTTTGGCATAGACACTTATAGCTATAAATTTCCCTCTTAATGCTGCTTTCACTATATCCTATAGGTTTTGGTATGTTGTGTTTCCATTATCATTTGTTTTAATAAATTTTCGGTTTCCTTCTTAATTTCTTCATTGGCTTACTGGTCATTCAGGAGCATGTTGTTTAATTTCCATGTGTTTGTATAGTTTCCAAAATTCCTCTTGTTATTGATTTCCAGTTTTGTTCCATTGTAGTCAGAGAAGATACTTGATATTATTTCTTTTTTTTGTTTTTTAATTTAAGACTTGTTTTGTGGCCTAACATATGGTCTGTCCTTGAAAATGATCCATGGGCTGAGGAGAAGAATGTGTGTTCTGCAGATGTTGGATATTCTGAAAATACCTATTACATCCATTGACTGTAGCACAGATTAAGTCTGATGTTTCTCTGTTGATTTTCTGTCTCGATGATTTGTCCAATGCTGAAAGGAGGGTATTGAGGTCTCCAACTATTATTGTATTGAGGCCTATCTCTTTCTTTAACTTTAATAATATTTGCATTATATGTCTGGGTGCTCCAATGTTGGGTACATATATACTAACAATTGTTATATCCTTTTTCTGAATTGACCCTTTTATTATTATGTAATAATGTTTTCTGTCTCTTTTCATACTTTTGGTCTTGAAGTCCAGTTTATTTGATATAAGTGCAGTTACTTTTGTTCTTTTTTGGTTTCCATCCATATGGAATATATTTTCCCATTACTATATTTTCAGTCTGTGTGTGTTTTTATAGGTAAAATGAATTTCTTGTAGGTAGCATGTAGTTGGGTCTTATTTTTAAAATCCATTTAGCCACTCTTTGTCTTTTGATTAAAGAATTTAGTCCATTTACATTCAATTTTATTATTGATAGGTAAGAATTTATTACTACCATTTTGTTATTTTTTTCTGATGTTTTCCCTCCCTCCCTGCCTCCTTTCCCTTCCCTTCCCTTTCATCCTTTCATTCTCTCCCTCCCTCCCTCCCTCCCTCCCTTCCTTCCTTCCTTCCTTCCTTCCTTCCTTCCTTCCTTCCTTCCTTCCTTTTTCCTTTCATCTTTCTTTGGGTAAAAGTGTCTTTCTCTGTTAGTGTGTTTTAATTTCTTGCTTTCTATTTTTTTGTTTATCTGCTGTAGGCTTTTTGTTTTGAGATTACCATGAGACTTGAAAATAATAACAAATTATTTTAAACTGAGGAAATCTTAACTCTGATCACAAAAACAAGCAAAGAGAAAACTATTTAAAAACCTCTACACTTTGACTCCATCCCCTCACTTTAAACTTTTTGTTGTTTCTATTTGTATCTTTTTATACTATCTATCTCTTAAAAGTTGCTGTAGTTATTATTTTTGATAAGATTGTCTTTTAGTCTTCCTAATCAAGATATGAGTGGTTTGCATACCACAATTACAGTGTTAGGATATTCTGAATTTGTCTGTATACTTCCTGTTACATGATTTTTTATGGCCTATTAATGTCCTTTTCTTTCAGACTGAAGAATTTCCTTTAACATTTCCTGTAAGACTGTTCTGGAGTTGATGAAATCCCTTAGCTTTTGTTTGTCTGGGAAGTCGTTATTTCTCCTTCATGTTTGAAGAATATTTTTTCTGGATATAATATTCTAGGATAGAAGTTTTTTCCTTTAGCAATTTGAATATGTCATGCAACTCTCTCCTAGCCTGTAAAGTTCCCACTGAGAAGTCTGCTGCCAGATGTGTTGGAGCTTCTTTATATGTTACATGTTTCTTTCTTCTTTTAGAATGCTTTTAGAATCCTTTCTTTATCCTTGATCTTTGGGAGTTTAATTAAGGGCCTTGAGGTAGTCTTATTTCAGTTAAATCTGCTTGATGTTCTATGACCGACCTTCTTGTATCTGAATGTTGATTATCTTTCTCTAGGTTTGGAAAGTTCTCTGTTATTACTTCCTTGAATAAACTTTCTACCCTGATCTTTCACTCTACCTCTTCTTTAAGGCCAATAACTCTTAGATCTGCCTTTTTGAAATTATTTTCTAGATCTTGTAGGTAGGTGCTTTGTGCTTATGATGCAAGCACAAAGGTGTGCTTCAACCTTTTTTATTCTTTCTTCTTCTCTGACTGTGTTTTTCACAGAGACTGTCTTCAAGCTCACTAATTATTTCTTCCACTTGATCAGTTCTGCTATTGAGAGACTCCAATGCATTTTTTCAATTTGTCAGTTGTTTTCAGTTCCAGAATTTCTGTTTGATTAAAAAAAAAATTTAATCTGTTAAATTTCTCTGATAGGTTTCTGAACTCTTTTTCTACGTTATCTTGAAGTTCATTGAGCTACCTCAAAACAGCTGTTTTAAATTCTCTGTCTGAAAGTTCATATATTTTTGTCACTTGGGATTGGTCACTGGTGCCATATTTAGTTTGACGAGATCATGTTTTCCTGTACGTTCTTGGTGCTTGTGGATGTTTTTCAATGTCTGGATATTGAAGAAGTAGGCATTCATTCTAATCTTCACATTCTGTGCTTGTTCGTACCCATCCTTCTTGAGAAGGCTTTCCACATATTCAAAGGGAATTCAGTGTTATAATCTATTGCAGCTCTTTGGTCACTACAGTCATATCTGCACAAGGAAGTGCCACAATCCTAGTAAAGCTATAACTCTTGCAGACGTATAGAAGAACTGCTGTGTTTGGCTTGGGTAAGATCTGGGAGAATTCTCTGGATTACCAGGCAGAGGGTCTCATTTTTTCCCCTCACTTTCCCCCAAGAAGAAGGAGGCTCTCTTTTCAGAAGACTGCTTGGAAATGGGAGATGGGTGGTGAAAGCACTCTTGTGGCCACCACAGCTGGGACTGGACTGGTTCACATCTGAAGCCAGCACATTATTGGGCCTTGCCCAAGGCTTGTGGTGGCTACTACCTGGCTACCATGAATGATTATTCAAGGATGAAGAGATCTTTAGTCAGCAGATGGGGAATCCTGCCAAGACTGGGTCCTTCCCTTCAGTACAGTGGGTTCCCTTCTGGCGCAGGGTGAGTATACAAATGCCATCCAGGAGCTAGGACCTGGATGTAGAGGCTTCATGAATCTGCTTGACACTTTATTTTACTGTGGCTGAGCTGGTACTGAACTTTCAAGACAAAGTCTTCTGTACTGTTCCCTTCCCTTTCCCCAAGTGGAAGGAGTCTCTTCCAGACCTGCATTGCTTGGAGTTGGGGGAAGGGTGATACAAGTACTCCCTTGGCCACCATAGCTGGTGTCTCAAGTACACCCGAAGTCCACTGGCTCCAAGCCCAGCATAGCACAAGGACTTATCCAAGGTCGTTTTGCCATTCAAATTCATTCAGGACATTCACAATTCATTCACAAGGACACTTTGGTCGGAGGAGCCCTGGGGTCCTGAACTAAGTGGTGGAGCTAGCTGGAACTCAGATTCCTACTGCTGCGATGGGGGATTTCCCTCTGGCTAGGGCTAGTCTGGCTGTTCCCTCCAAGGGCACTGGCCAAGTACTGCCCTGTGTTGGGTTCTGCTGTGACACGGCAGCACTGAATTCCTATGTGAAGTCCCACAATCACTCACTTTCCCTCCCCCAAGCATACAGATTCTCTCTCCAGGCACTGCTGCGGGATTGGCGAGGGTGGTGTTTGCAATGCAAGAATGTCTTTCCTACCCTCTTCAGTGCCTCTTTCCCTAATATGATGTTAAATCTAGGTACTGTGATTGCTCATTTGATTTTTGGTTCCTTTGAATGTGCTTTCTTGCAAGGATAGTTACTCAATTTGGTGTTCGTGTGGGGGAGGAGCGATCCCTGGAGGAGTCTATTAAGCCATGTTGCTCTCCCCACTCCCTGCCTTTTCATTTTTTTTGACTGTTTCCCTTGCCATGCAGAAGCTTTTTAGTTTGGTGTAGTCCTACTTATTTAGTACAGAAATAGAGAAAGCAATGCTGAAATTTATGTGGAATCACAAAACACTCTGAATAGCCAAAGCCAACTTGAGAAAGAAAAACAAAGCCAGAGGCATCACATTTCCTGATTTCCAACTATATTATCAAGGTATAGTAATCAAAACAGCAGAATACTTGCCAAAAACAGACACATAGGCCAATGGAACAGAAATAAGCCTATACATATACCATCAACTAATCTTTGACAAGGGCACCAAGAATATATAATGGGAAAAGGCTGGTATCTTCTATAAATGGTGATCAGAAAACTGAATATCCACATGCAAAAAAATAAAATTGGGCCCTCATCTTACATTATACACAAAAATCAACTCAAAATGGGTTAAAGACTTACATGTAAGACCTGAAATTATGAAACTCCTAAAAGAAAATACAGAGAATAATCTTATTAATATTCATCTTGGCAATTTTTTTTTTTTTTTTTTTGGCCTGACAGCAAAAGCACAGGCATCCCATGAAGTTGTGATGGCAGAAAATGTGTCTTGTTTGTTGCTGCATTCCCAGAACCTAGCATTGGGCTTGCACGTAGTATGTGTTCAATATTTGTTTTAAAATAAATTAATGGATAATATATCACTCTGTGGTTCATTGACTCAATGATTGTGCAGGGATTGAGGTACTATGGTATGACTAGCCAGAAAAATGTGACTATAGAGGCTATGCAGGTTGTTACAGGGGTACCATTTACATAAATTCTACAAAGCTATTGTTCTGAGAAAGACATTCTTGGAAACTATGAATAAATAGTTTTTTGCACACTAATAATTATTTATTCTTAAGAGTTGATTTCAATGACTAAAACAATTGAAATACTTATAGTTTTTTTAAAAATGTGGTATTTTAAATAGGACTCAGAGATGTGACCTGTGTAATGTTTCCTTTCTTCTTATTTTTAAAAATAATCTAAGATTTTGAAATGGGACTTAGGGGGAATGCTGGAATGGTGGATGTGTCTAAGTGGTCTAACCAAACTGTAATCATGACACTCCTCTCTGCCTGACCTTTTCACTCCCTACACTCAGTGGTGAGATAAGATTTGTCCTTGTGACTTCAGAATGATGAGGTTATTAGGGAGGCTGTCTGGGTAATTTACTAGATATCTGATTTTGGGAAAGTCACTTAACCTCTTTGTGCCTTGGTTTTGTCCTCAAGGGCTGTTGTGAAGTTCAAGTGAAATAATAAATATTACAATGCTTAGGGAACTGCAGAAGTTATTTGAATGTACAGTTTTATACTTATTGTTTGTGTGTGTTTGTCGGGGGAGGTGAAGTCGGGGGTTCCTTGCCTCTTCTCCCGTGTTTCTGATCTTGCCTTCAGGTGAAGTCATGCCTCAGACTGCCTTCTCCCACTTCCAGGATTCCTCTATGTTGATAAGGGAGGAAGATTTTCTGCTCAGATGTGTCCACAGTCCTGGTGGGCACGATTACAGTTCCTTCAAGGCAAAGGACTCGGCTCTCCTTGCTGCTCCATCACATCCTCACAGCACCTGATCTAAACAGGTGGGCTCATGGTCTTTTCTCTCAGTATCTTGATGGACCTGTCAGGTCGATTTTGCTTTGCAATTTGACCATCTTAGATAGCATCAGAAGAAGTGGGAAGCCCATCTTACATCTATTAGCCTCAGGCATGTGTGTCATCCCAGCATATTAAAGAAACTCTGAATCGGACAATCACTTCCTTGGTTTCTTTTCTCTAATTTTTCTTTATGTGAACAACTTCCTTAGGATGCTAGAGGGCAGCAGGGCTGACTGTTAAATTTAAGAAACAGAATCCTTTAGCATCCTTAAAGTGCTACAAGACGGTAAATTCTATGAAAGCTGAAGGTGTGGATTCTAGAATCAAGAAAGACCTGCATTGAATCCTGGCTTAACTACTCTGACTTGGAAATACGTCTTAACATTTCTAGTCTGAGTTTTCTTCATTGTGGAAAGGGAATCACATTTGTACCTACCACATAGGGTTCTTGTATAGATCCTCTGTGAAAATGTATTCAAAGTGCTTACTACTAGATGTGCCTGTAGAAGTGGGTAATAAATGCTAAATAAAGTCATTTTAGTTAATTCCAAGCTTTGAAAATCATCAAAGGTTTCTGTGCAGCCATGCAGCATATTTTGATGTAGTTAAAACTAATTAAAGACAGCGTTCTCTTAAAGCAGAACATTGAGTTGGACGTGGATTTTTAATGTTATCTTTTCCTTTTCAAAATGCGGACCATCTCTACATGTCTAACTTTATTTCCTACTTCTTTTCACCGCACATATTTCTGACCTTTCCCATGAATGTGCATACATACTCATGGCTCTAGTCTAGTGCCTTAATAAAGCCTTTCTAATGTTTGGTTTCCTCTTCTTTTTTCCTCCATTTTACTTTCTTGAAATTTTTTCAGGAAGCTTTCTGAACTCCATTTCTTGATTCTTTCAGTATCCATTCCTAGTATTGCAAAATTCATTATATATAGTATCCAACATCTTTTGACAATTGCAAGCGTGTTCAGTTGTTAACTTAGTGAGTATAGGAATCACAATTATTTCTTTTTCATTATCTGAAGGAAGACAGTGCAATGTGTTGGAAACAGCCTGGGATTTGGAAATAGAAAGTAGGGATTCTTTTGATGACTTTTCATTGATAATAACTAGTGTATAGACACATTTTCTTTAGATTATATCAGGGCTTCATCTCTCTGTGTGCTGCTATGTGGTGCCTTAGAGATAAACAATCTTTTCTCTGTTAGTTTATCAGACTTATAGAAATCTGTTACATAGCATGTGTTCATTGAAGTCTCTAGTTTATAAAACTTGTTGAAGCTTAACTCTGAAACTCAAGATTTTTCATTGTTAAAAAGATGTCTTCTTAATGTATAACCAGGTTTTATTTAGTAGAATTACTTCTCATGACATGAGAAAGCTTAGCTAGGAGTAAACAGTGAAAACTAAGGAAAGCAAAGGACAATTAATGACTTTTTTTGCAGTATGTGTACCAAAGCATTCAGTACTGTGCTTTGTGGCTGAAGAGTTGTGTTACAGAGAGAAATACTGACATTTATGATTTGGTCTAGTGGCAAAACCTATGCACTTAAGTAGATTTATCAGTGAACTAGCCTGAAGGACTTTCCTAAGATGAGAAACTGCTCTGGAACACTCAGAAAAAACAAATGCAAGAATCAGGTCAAAATCATTTTTGAACTTACATAGGCCTCTTTGAAAGTATGTGCCATTTCATTTCACAATGATTGACCCTCTACGGCTTTGTGAACATGAACGGGGTTCCAGAGGTTCTTTGTGAATTGATGTATCAAAAATGGTGAGATGTATCTTAACCATAACTGGTTCAAGATCAAGACCATGCTTGATCCCCCTAAATTTTAACCCTAGTTAGGAGACAATTCTAGAGTTACCACTGTGAGCTTTTGGGAAATTGGAGATCAGACAGGGATGATCTTGCATTGCTGAATCTTCCCTCATTCAAAAGTGACCGGTACTAGGTACCAATGTTTAAAGACATGATCAAGGACCAGTATGAGTCTGCCTTCATTGAATTAACACTTTAAGGCTATGTTGGTATACCTAGGAGGGCTTTCAGAGTCAGGAAAATTACTGGAGGAAATGGCATTTAAAAGGAGATGCAAAGGGCAAGTGAGAATTAGCCAAAAACCTTTTGTGAGTGGAGGATCTTGGCCAGCATATATACAACTCAGAGAAGAGAGAAAGTTACAGTGCTGGGGGATTTTCGAGTCATTTGTTATCACTGGGGTCGAGTGAGATAAAGGGGTGTTCCTAGATGAGTATCTAGTTATTAGCAGGGGTTAGGTCATAGAGGATCTTGCTAGCAATTATGAGAGTGGACTTTCTAGTATGGGTAATGGAGAGTCACTGGGGAGTTTTAAATAAAGGTGGTGATAGGAGAAAATGCTTTCTTTAGAAGCACCTTTCTGATTATGGTGTGAAGAATGGGTAAAGAATAAGAGACAAGAGAGACTGAGACCACTTAGGACGTTATTGCTATAAAGCTGGCAAGAGATGGAGATGGCTCCATAAACACAGTCGTATTAGGGATTGAGAAAAGTAGGTGGATTCTAGATACGTTTTAGAGATTTCATGCATAAAAAGCCCTATGACCTATTGAATGTAAGGAATGAGAAAGAGGTAAGACATCCAGGGTTATGCAGTTGAATGATGTGGGCGTCATTAATTAAAGTAAGAGGAAATGAGCATGTTTTGCAGGAAATAAAATAAATTCAATTTTAACATGGTCTATCCAAGCAACATGAAACCTGGGAGATAATCACACAGAAGCCAAGGGAGGAAAGCCTTCTTAAAAGGAGTGAATAAGCAATAGTATAAATGCTACTGAGAAGTTAAGTAAAAAAGAAATAGACTCGGAAGTCTACCAGAGAGATGCATGTTTCAGTTAGAAAAAAAAGGTGGAATTATCAAACAGGTTAAAGATGTGAGAAGGTGAGATCTCCATGGAAAAGGATTTCCAATGTGGAGGTTTGTGGGGTGGGGGAAGCAGTAAAAAGTGGGTCTGGGAGAAGTCAAGCAGCAACATTCTTATTTACGGAGTGCTTATTTTGCACCTTGGGAAGTGCTTAAAAGGTATTACAGCTTTTGATACTTACATTATCCTGTGAAACTGGTGCTCTCATTGGCTCCCCTTTTGAGGTGAGAAAACTGAGGTTCTGAGAGATTAAGTCAATTTACCTAAAATCATACAGTTAGTACGTGGCAGATTTGAACACAGACCTATATGGCTCAGACTCCTGCTTGTAACCACTGGTAATGCTACTATGAAGAGCACAATGAAAAGCACAATATAGAAAGTGTAAACCAAAAATAAAATGCTAAGACCCCCAACCATCTGAATGGACCCCTCCTCTTGACCAAGAGCATTCCAAAGTTAACCTGAAAAACTAGTTTAGGCTGTGATGGGAAGGGGGAGCCTGAAATGCCTCATTATACCCTCCTTCCTTTTGGAATTACTGATAGAACAGATTCTTTAAGTCTGATAAGAAACATTTACAGGCTATTCTCTCTGAAGTCTGTTACCTGGAGCTTCATCTGCATTATAAAACCTTGGTCTCCACAATCCCTTATTGTAACCCAGACATTCTTTGATAATGACTCTTTCAATCAGTTTCCAATCAGCAAATCTTTAAATCTCGAAATCACCATTAAAGAACTTATCCATGTAACCAAACACTACCTGTTCCCCAGAAAGTATTGAAATAATAATAGTAAGAAAGAAAATCTTTAAATCTACCAATGACTTGCATGCCCCCACTTCAAGTTGTCCTGTCTTTCTGGACCAAACCAATGCACATCTTACATGTATTGATTGACATCTCATGTCTCCCTAAAATGTATAAAACCCAGCTGTACCCCAATCCCTTTGGGCACATGTCATCAGGACCTCTTGAGGCTGTGTCACAGGCACATCCTTAACCTTGGCAAAATAAGCCTTCTTAATTGATTGAGACTTGTCTTAGATATTTTTAGTTTACAATTGGCAATGATGAAGGAATTCTGAGTGGAGGTGCCTCTGACCTTGACAAATCTCCTATTGGTGCTTGGAACCAACTTGAGCATTCTTTATTGCTCAAACCAATAGGACAATTTGCTGAGGCCTGGGAGCTCCCCCATCCAGAGAATCCCTGATGTTCCCCAATTTGGTTGTGATCTAAGGTTTATTTGGCTGTACAACTCCTTTTCTGGAGTTTTACTCTAATAAAGAACCCCAAAGGTTTGTGTCTTTGAGAATTGGATCTTGTGAATTATATCATTGGAATCCCTTGTGAGTTGCCTTCTGATTGGGTTCAACCAATGGGAGATTGGTGGGCAGGAGAGAGATGTCTCCCGTGCAGCAGTGTCCCACATCTGGTAATAGCTACATCCCTCTGGGTAGCCCCTTCTCCTTCAGGGCGCTCGTCTTCACAGAGCTCTGGTAGAAGCTTTTCCTTCCTTTGTCCCTTTAGCCATAGGGGGTAGTAACTCCTTCCAGCTGTTGCTGGTCTTTTGGTTTTTCACCTGCGCCTCTCTAAGTAGGGGCTTCATTCAAGTCTCCCCATTTGAACCATCTGGGAATGAATTGTGTCTCCTGCTGTGCTCCTGAGTAATAGAGACAGTAGCCAAGGGGTAATAGGGACATGAGGACTGAAAAATTTAACTGACAGCAAAGCCTATACACTATATCACCATAAATAATCATGATGAGAGTTATAACACTCACAATTGTTGACACTTTATGATTTATAAAGTGCTTTCACATAAGTTATATCATTTGGGTCAAGAAATAACCCCAAATAGTAGATTCCATTATTTACATTTTAGACAAGCAGACTGAGTCTCAGAAAAGTTAATATGTTCAAAGTCTCCCAGGTGACAGGGCTGAGCTTCCAAATTCAGTCCTCTTGAGATCAAAACCAGAATTCTTTCTACCACTCATCTGCTTCCCATTAGTTACTGAGATGACAGAATGCCTTTTCTGTAAAGCCTCCTGCAGT